CGCACGCACGCACGCACGCACGCACGCACGCACGCACGCACGCACCCACCCACCCACCCACCCACCCACCCACCCACCCACCCACCCACCCACCCACCCACCCACCCACCCACACACACACACACACAAAGAGGGTTCAGTTGTGGTCGTAGGGTGTCATGACCGAGAGCACCGTCTTGTTGGCCCTGACGCCGGGTGTTTGCAAAACATCCACCCAGCTTGCCGCCCAGGGCGTTAGGGTTCGATCCTCTGTTTGGGTTGAGGTTGCCGGTCAAATATTGACCGAGGTTGGCTCAATTAAGATTTCGGTCTCGTGGTTGCAGCTTTTGGATTTTTGCGGTCTGTGCCTTTAGGGCTTGGGTTTATGCTGTGAGGGCTTGAAAGCGTTCGAGCTCTGGCTTCTATGGGAGTTCTGAAGCCTTGAATGCTCCCCTAACGATAGTCTCTCACACTCCAAAGGTCCCAAAACAAGGTCGATCTCATATAGTTCATTTATTCTAGAGCCCCCAAAGTAGAGTTTTACAAAATTGCGTTACTTAGAGTCTTGGAGTCGCGCCTGGGCTCAGGCACGAATGAGCTGGAGATCCCTCTCTGCACCTGGGTGCTCCCTGCCATGGGGGAGATGCCTGAGGCTCCGCACCCAGAATCCTACACTGCCCCTTTAGTTAGGGTTTAGGGCTTAGGGTTTAGGGTTTAGGACTCTTTTGCCGATCAACCTGAGCCCTCAAACCTGGACCTCAAAGCCCTAAACTTAAGCCCCAAGGCCTCAGCCGCTAAGGCCCTGGCCCTAAGCTGCTTTCGATGTTTAGAACTGGCGCGAGGTCCCGGAAGCCACACAGCTCGCAAAGGAGGATGCCCAGAAAGCCATGTGACCCGACGTTTAATAGCTTTTAGTCATGCATTATAGTATATTGTTGTATGGTATGGTATTTCACAGTCCCTTATGTTTTAGCTTTTAGTCATTATAGTATATTGTTGTATGGTATGATATTTCATAGTCCTTCCTTGGCATATGATCTTCTGGTTGTGTGTACGATTTTTTTGCATACTGGGTTTAGATCGGGCTTAGCGTTTTCAGGGATCAGGAATCCAGGGGGCCGGTTTAGAGGACCTCTGTTAACCCTAAACACTAAGCCCTAAACCCTAAGCCCTAAACCCTAAACCCAAGCTGGATGGTGTGGTTTTGTGTCGGAGTTTGGCGTGTGGAATCTGGGGCTTCGCAAAAGGATTCAGAGGGTTTTGCAGGGTTTAGGGTTTCGGGATTAGGGATCACGGTTTTGGGACCAGGGTTTCGGGATTAGGGATTGACAACTTCACAATTGGTGGTCGCGGTCTTGCGTTGCGAAAGTCCCAATGTGAAGGACAGAGCCGCCCAGACTCCGAATTTCGCGATCAAACTACCAGGATATAGAAAATCAGTTCAAGGTGACCCTAAATCCCGAGCCCTGCGATCGCCGAAAGAAAGCCCTGGTCCCGATTCAATCGCGATCTCTTCGGCAGCCTCGGCTGCAGCTCCCCCGAGATAACCGGTCATTGAAGCGAAGGACTCCAAGTCCTAAAATCCGCTGCGAGCCCTACACACCAAGGACTATCTTGGACAAGCACCTGTTGAACAACACCTTCATGGTGGGAGTCCTGTCTGCACACAGGTTGAACAACAGAAGCCCTCCCGACAAGGGCCCATATCTCCCTTTTTCGGGTTTAGGGTTTTGCTTAAATCACCAGTACGGTCAGCACGGGCCCTGGGTTTTTGGGCGGTGCTTTGGACAAGCTTGTTGGAGGGCAGACGTGACGCGATCGACTCGTGTTGCAAAGCGGATCGCAAGCAAGAGATGTGTAAAGGCCTCTGGGAAGTAACATGACAAGTGTGAAGCTGCCATGAACCCAGATCTGGGTTGTGATCTAACCTGGGCTTACCTTCCCACGTAATATTTTACTTGGTTCTGTAGGAGGTTGCCAGGCAAATCTGACCTCTTAGGGAGCCTCCTGCGTCTAAGCCCCAAACCCGAAACTTCCCTGAACCCCAAACCCTGAACCTTAAACAGCAATTTCCATTTTTCAAGGACATTCCGTCACATTGGCTGACATTTCAGTCTGCTGCGCGCTTGTAGACGGCATGCAGAAAGTCTTCGATGAGAACTTTCGGAAACAGCTACTCGGCTTCATCTAGGGGTCAGAATAGGTTGTATTTCAAGTATAATCCCCCCCAAACCCCATTCTAATTATTATTGAGGCCGCTACATTGAAATCCGACTCGAGGCCGCCTCTTGATTTACTTAGTCAGCAACATTTCGGCGGTATTCCTGGTGCCTGGTGCCAACACCTACTGTACCGCAACCCCTTCTTCTTTTCTACTGCTGCTGCGAGTGCTTCTTGTTAGACTACCACGAGTACACCACCACCACCACCACCACCACCACCACCACTCTTTCTTGCCCTATTGCCAGCCTGTCAGTATCACAGTTTTAGCTTGTAATAGTAGCATTATCCCTATGCCAGTATCATGGGGTTGGTATTCATGATGTGCAATATCAGTAGTCTCACTACCAGACATACTACTGGTCCCCAGTTGCCTTCATAGTAGGTTACTACTCACATCATATGTAACCCAGTAACCCATCATTAAGGTTGGAGCCCGAAGCCCCAATCCCTGAGCCCCAAAGCTAAATCCGCATACGGCAAGGTGGTCATCTGAGAACCAAAACTTCTTTACTCCTGCAGGGGCATCCGAAATCCTCGGCCTCACAAACGTTACAGAGTCTGTGTTTCCCAATGCCCAACACCCCCAGATGCTTAAGGAACCTAAACCCGAGGGTTTCGGGTTTAGAGCATATTCGTCGGTAGCCCCAGCGTTCAATCATGTCAGCCACAGGTACACCAACTTGATGCGCTGGTTCAACACTTGCGTTGGCACGCCGGAGTTCAAGGCGATCTTGGGCGATGTCAAGCTCTGCAGCAAGGTGCCCCAAGGGCTTGGGTTTGGGGGTTTAGAGTTTGTTACAACACCCAAAGATGAACCTACATCTTCAACCCTAAGCCTTTCAAAATGAGTCTAGAATTTTCCATCCCAGCCTACGAACCGTGAGCCTTCAGCCTGTAAGCCCGAAACCAACACCCCCCCGATCCCCTGAACCTTAGAGCCCTAAGCCCTGAGCCCGAAGCCACTCAAAGCCACGGCAACTGGAGGCTGGAGGCGCAGCGAAGGGCGGCAAGGCCACGGTTTCCGGATTCTGGTTTAAGTTTGGGCCGTCCTACGTCGCTAGCTCGTCAGTGTCCCAACAACTGAACCTGAAGAGTTTAGGGCCAAAGCGTCGTATTCCAGAGCCTGAGCCGATAACCGTAGATCAGCCTTGAAAGAACTGAGCCAAGTTGGGTCCGTCGACGGAGGCCATCGCACCCCGACCTGAAGCAAGTCGCGAAGCTTCCCCTCATCCTAAGCCTCTATAAACCCCACACCCGAAACCCTCAACGCTGAACGCGATAAAGCAGACCACAAGAGGAGAAGCCGGAGAAAGCAGCGCCCAAAGAGAAGGCCGCGCCCAAGGCTGCTAAATCGGCTGCAACATAGGGGTGCGAGGCAGCACGACATTTTTACATGTTCCTACACTGTCCTACATTCTAACATGCATTCCGACGAATCCGTGAAAGTCACAGAGCTTTCCCTCGCTCTTATGGAATTTGGGGCTGGTATGTGCCATGCTGGGTGCTTTTGAGGCTTTTGTGATCTGGAAGCAAAGTTGACTCTAGGATGCTACGGTAGATGGTGTTGCTCTTTGCGCATAACAACCGATTCTGCGGACCTTCTGGGGATGTTGGCACACTGGCCTTGATGATTGCAAGTTTCGGGAGGGATTGGCCTTTCCTTTCGGTCTCTCTGCATCAAAACCAGAAACGAGATACCCCCCTAAACCCCATGAGGCCTCGAAGATGGGTAGCCCTTTCAATGCGCGCAGCTCGTGTTGCCAGGAGAAGGCACAGAAGGCAGATAAGGCAGAGAAGCCTGCTGCCAAGGACTGGGAGTGGCGTCAGCAGCCGAATAGTCCGAAACCTCATCAAGCAGAAATGCGTGTGTACCAGAACAACGGTGCAAAACCACCCAGAATAGCAGGATTCTCGTGCAGTAGGGCCATATCCGATGTGCACCTTACCCTAACTCCCCAGGTACCTACTATATACATAGGGCCTAGGGCCCTATATAGTAGGTACCTGGGAGGTTAGGGTTAATGGCTGCAATTTAGGTGACGATGATTCGAAAGGCTATCGAAGCAGGGCAGCTCCCGGCGCTCCAATCTCGCAGCCCTAACGCGAAATTCGGTGTCATACAAAATATTAGGGTGATTATTTTTTCGTATTACTGGTAATTATTATTCTTATTGCTGCATTAGTGTTACCGCTATACGTAATGCTTAATGCTAGTATTATTGTTGTTATTATTTTGACCGCAGCCGTGACCTATACTTTAGGCTCCGGCCCCACGATAAGAACAAATCAGAAACCAATGGAACTGGGCAGTTTGTTGCCAATGTAGCCGTTGCTGTCGTTAGTGTGGCCGTCGTCGTCGTTGTTGCCGTCGCCGTTGGTTTTCTGACTGTACTAAGTGCTAAGTGTTGTTATTGTTGCTAATCTTCTTTATTATTATTGTTATTTATTATTATTATTATTATTGTTATTATTATTATATTGAGTATTATGAGTCTTGTCCGCTTTTTGTTGTTGTCGTATTCGGTGTTCTTCTTGCTCTTGTTGGTGCCTGGCTGCAGGAGAAAGCCGCTCCAAAGGCTCTGCTGTGCCCAGTGGGTTGCAAACTTGGGTTTTGAGTTTAGGGTTTAGGGGGCCGGGGGTTTAGGGTTTAGGGTATAGGGTTTAGGGTTTAGGGTTCTGATATAACATAGTGTGTCTGGGTATGTGTATGTAATATGATCGAGGGCCTGCGGTTCGGGCTTGTGAGAGGCTTGCAGTTTGGAGGGGGGGTGACATAATGTCTGTGTGTGTATATATATGTATATATATATATATTATGCTGCGTGTATACAGTATATACATACATATGTTTTATGTATATATAGATGAATTACGTATATATGAATAGATAATATACATATGATCGAGGGCCTTTGGAGTTCAAGCTTTAGGCGTTCGGGTCTGGGCATCGGGTCTTGCAGATTAAGGCTTTTGGGTTGAAGGCTTGACAGTGTTGAAAACGTCGGAGGGTTCAGGAACGTAGCATTTACTTCAGGAGTTCAAGAGGGCTTGAGCAGATAATTGTTGGGTGTGATGCGCAGTTTAGCAGTCTTCGTCACATTATGTGATTTTGTGGTTGGGCATTCGGGATTTCTAGTCAGTGAAAGCAAGATCCCTTCGGTACCAAACGCAAGACCCTCACGGCCCGAATCCATGTCACGGTTAGATCTTCTCTTCCAATGTCAAGACGTTAAGATCCAAACATCACTCTACAACCCTAAAGCCCGAAAACAGTTAAACTCTAGAAACCTCAGATCCTAAACCATGAAGCTCTACCCCGAAATCATGAACCATGTGATACAGGCTTCGTCTACCGCGAACATCGTCCCATGAAGCTCTACGGCTCTTAATTCTGAGCCCAAGCTGAATCTCTATCCCACTGCACGTGGAATCACCTTCACGGTCAGGAGAAGGCCGCGCCGAAGGCACGGATTCGGCAAGTCTTTCCATATGCCTAGAATACGAAAGGCCAGAAAAACAAAAAAAAAAACTGGTGGGTTCATTGCGGTCCCAGGGCTGGAGAGTTTGAGGAGTCGGGTCAGGGGTTCGAGATCCAGGTTTCTGGCCATCATAGCATTCGAGCCGTGGTTTTCTTAGCGTGTTTTTGTTGTGGGCCTATTCCTCAGGGCAGTTCTCGACGTGGGCGGAACTTTTGTGAGCTAAGGCATCTCGAGATGGTTGTACTCTTCTGTGTGTACATATAAAGACCTAGATAAGGACACAAGACTATCTCCGGCCCATCTTCGAAACACGCACTGCTGCAGGAGAAGGCGGCGCCCAAGGCCAAACCTTGAGTGAACTTACTGGGAGTTCAACATTGTACTCAAAAAAGTAAGACCAAGACAAACGAATCTTCTTCTTGAGCATCATCACTACTGACACTACTGTCATTGTCATCGTCATGCTCAGTATTACAATCACCATCATTCTCGACTGTGTTGCCTTCCCAGTAAGTTGGGCAGCTATAATGAACACCACCACCGCGATCGCCGCCATCGCCATCGCCGCCGCCGCCACCATACCACCGCCACCGCCGCCACCGCCACCACCGCCACCACCACCACCACCACCGCCGCCACTACCACCGCCACCACCACCACCACCGCCACCACCACCACCGCCACCACCACCACCACCGCTGCCCTCTTCATCTGCTTGTCCCGATCTTGCATGCTTTCTTTTAGCAATGCCCCATTTGCTGTTGTCAGGATTCTGTCCATTGTTGCTAGTACATCTGCTAGCATCACTGTGCCACTCTGAATACAGTGTGTCTGCTGCCTTCTAACATTTGCTATCTGAGTGGATTGGGGATTGGTCTTGGGGTTTCGAGTTTCGACTGGGGTGTGCCTGTTCTTGGCGCCAGTTTTTGCCAGTGCCACCAATGTGGTCCGCGCCAGATGCTGCATGAAGGGGTCACGAATGGCAACTGTCCACGGTTTCGGTTTCACATGAGAAACAGGCCGGCATCTATTTTCCGCGATGTTCTAGGCTAGGTACAATTGCAATGCCATCTTTACCCTACACTCGTGAGCCCGAGCCTCTCGCCCTGACTCTAACCGCCACAGCCAGAAATAGACGAAACCAGACAGATATGCCTCCAAACCCCCTGAGCCAAAAATCCCAACCAGGAAAAGGCGGGAAAGAAGGATAAGGCGAAGGCTCTCCTGGCCCAACGTTTTCGTGCGTTTCTGTCAATCTCATATTTATAAAAGCTTCAAGCAAGGATCAATACTGTCCCACTGCGGTTCCTTATTGGAGATATACTGCCCAAAACCCTCAACGGCCCTTTGTTGTGACAGCCGGATGTCTGTGCGATTCAGCAAAGAGAAGTACAGCAAGGGGAATGTTCTGATCAACCCGAGCGTTCAACAAGTCTGTGGATGCCGTGCTTAAGATGACCAGTATCAGTGCTTGTGACGACGACGGCGACGACGAGTGCTGGAATCATCTTGCTGGTGCTACAAGTGCTTGGAGTAGCACTTCCGTCATGTGGATTTTGATATGTCTGGCGCGATCACCAAGAAACCTGCGAGGAAGAGAAGGCTGAGAAGACAGAGGAGAAGGAGAAGGAGCTCACGCCCGAAGAGCAAGAGAAGCTTCGCAAGGACAAGCTCAAGAAGGCCGGATGCAGTCTCCTGGTATCTTTTTGGTCGAATGCTCAGAGTCGCGTCCGTCGCGTAGTCGAGTTTGGTTTATGCATCCCATACATGTTCGGTGGGGCTTCGGGGCTGCACCAGCGCACCTCAAATTCATGGATCTCGGGAAGGAATAGCGCGAACCCAAGATAAAACCGCGAAGCCCTGAAGCCCGTTGCAATCGCTTTAAGCCCCTGAACCAGCGCAAAGCGATAGAAAGATGTGGACTCTGGGGTTCAAGTCTGTGAGCATGATAAACATGTGCAAGCAAGACTGTGGAATTGAATCCCACCCGGCCCAGGTCATCAAGGAAGGTGGAAAGCGAGGACAGTCGGGGTCTAACTCTTGCCTGCGATCTCAGCGAGTGCCTGCCACTTTACAACTCCACCACGCCACCAGCAATAGCACGTTAAGCAATGTTCCACTCCCTAAGCCCTGAACCGTGAACCGTCCCAGACAAATAAAACAATAGCCGAGGTCAAGACAAGCAGAGACGCATGAGCCACAACCATCGAGCCAAGCAGCCCCGCAACAATGAAGACAAACACCCTAAATCGTCTAGCTCCAACCAGTTGAGGGTTTAGGGTTTAGGGGGTACCCATAGGCCCCTATGTAGTTCCTTTTTTGGGATTACCTTATAGGATTCTAAATATACACCACAAAAAGGAACTACTTAGGGGCCTTTGGGTAACCAATCGGTCGAGCAAGCGGCCTGAGGATCGATGGTTCGAGCCGATAACTTGTGGCGAGAGCAGCATGGCTCTGCATGTAATGCCGTGGTAGGTCGTTATGCGTGGGCAACAAGGTTCGTTTGAATGCTTGGTGTGTCCATCCCTACAGCCCTAGCTTGAAATCCTGCTTCAATCCTTGAACCCACCTAAGCACTAAGCCCCACAAGCCAGAGGGGCCTATACCTTATAAGGAAATCCAAAACCCGGTTGCAATTGCGCCAGGAGTTGAGATTGAGGGTGCAGCGGACATGGGTGCACTCCTCGGTAACCGGTTCGAAAGGTCGTACGGCTTAGGACACAGGGCTTAGGGTTTCGGGGTTTAGGGGGATTGCAGGAGTCAGTGTGTTGTTCCCGGTCTAATGTGTGCGCTCAGGCTGGGCCATTCGACCCTGGCTGTCCTAGCTCAGGTTCCTTTTTGACTTTGTTCAGTGCCAGTGGTCTGGTTGAGCTGTTTTCCATGGTGGGGGATCAGGAAGAATGTCGAGGAGTCGGAGATGTCCGGCAGAGTGTCACGTAACCCTCAGCAAACCCTAAACCCCCCAATCCCAAAGCCTTAACTTAAATCGCCTGACCCTCAGCTCTCACAACAGATGTTTCCAACTGTGGGAGATCGGCACCCCATGAAGGGTTCAGGGAGAGGGTGTAAGGCTTGTGGTGATTGCGCTAGAGATGCAGAGGGCCCAATTCCTCATGAAGAAGCAATACTCCTGAACAGTTAGAGTCTAGAGCATACATAGATTCATTCACTCATTGGTTCATGCATGCAGGCATGCATGCATGCTTATGGCCAGTTGAATCTGTCTGTCTGTCTGTCGGTCTGTCCGTCTGTCTGGCTGTCTGTCTGTCTGTCTGTCTGTCTGTCTGCCTGGCTGTC